CCCAGTTTACACTATATTTGAGATAAATTTGGTACATCTCTCTTTCGCCTGAAGTTTTTAATGTTCTGTTTTCGCAAAAGTTCAAAATCCGTATCAGAAATGATCCACAGAAATTGCAATAAAATCTGCGATATTTTCAAAAATATTTTTTGCCAAATTTCGTGTGTTTGGATGGCCAAGCCGGATGGATTTTCACGAAGAAGATTTTATTTCATCCGAAAAGTAAAAAACCTTACTAATCGCGGGTACCCATATCATTCCATTGACAGATCCAAGATCGAAATCCCTGTTTGCGCATTAAATCTAGAAGTAAAATTCTCTAAATCGAGCTTCGAAATGTCAGCATCATTTAAAGGTAGATGCAGATAAAAAAAATTGAAAAATTATACATAAGAGACGTAGTTCTCATTATGTAGGCTCCTAGTTTTACTTTGACACGAAGACCGTGAAATGAGTGGCTTAGTCACAAATCGATAGAGATCATAAACAAACTGGTTCGCCTCAACCTGATTTTACACATTAACACTAGATTGCCGAAGGCAGTCATTTTGACTGTTTTTCAATTTCAAGTACAAAAACAATTGTGTATATTATGACCCAGCTTTTTAAAATTAGGTGACTTTTTGTACCACATAGAACTACGTCTATTAATCATAGTAGCTGCTTCCTCCCTTCTTTCATTCCCCGTATTCACATGTGCTATACCTATATTGCCTAAAAGCGGTCATTTTGACCTTTTGTGAAATATTGAATAATCAAACTACTTTTATTATTGTATAAAGTAAATTTCTTATATGACCAGATCAGTACAACAACATCGAAACCCGTTTGCTACTCTAGAAACACAAACGAACATACAAATCGGGAAAAATTAATTTTATATTTTCAGTCCATTTCACTTTCAGAGTAAAGACTTCCTTTTTTTCGAACATTTTGTCCGCGCTCTTATTTTTCAAAAGGGGAAACTCGAGAGCCCTACCACCGAAAACAAATAATAACAACGTTTTGTATGATTGTAAATAATGTAAAAAATAGTAAAAAATTAGTTTAAAAAAATTTCTTTACACAATAAAAATTCTTTCAGAATGAGGTCATTTTGACCGATTTTAGGCAATATAGGTATATACAAAATGTCCGTCTTTCTAGTGTTAAAGTAGACACAGCTTCCACCCAAGTAAAGTTTGGAGGTCAATATCATGAAAAGTTTGCAAAGACAGATCAATTAACCCAAAACTATTCACTTTTTTTCATACACTTAAGTAAATCCCGAATTATAAAGGGGTGAACCACGGCTTCAGCTATGTTAAAAAATTGGCAATATTGCCCATATTTAATAATACCGTCCACCACACTGTGCTACAGGGTATTATGTTTCTGTGCTTATGTTTGTAATATGCAACAGGAAACCAGAGAAATCCATGATTCTTTTTGAGAATAAAAGTATGGAAGTTTCTTTACTCGTACCTGCAATGCTAAGTACATTTTTGCTTATAACTTTGGTTTGGATTGGCCGATGATTACCAAAATTTCAGTGAAGTCGACTTAGCATACTATGGTTCGGAGGCGTCGATATGTTGATCCAATTACATCTAAATTTGAAACCAAACTCCTTAAGTTTGTCAGATTAAAATGAAATGTTGACCCCAATTAAGAAATTTCCCTATAGCAACATGTATTTTATTTTTCTCTCTTTGCCAATATTTTACTTTACTTTATGAAGCTATGGTTTTGCTGCCTTGATTTATTCTGTCTTTTGTCTTTGAACTTTATTAGCTTGATTAGAGATTTTCGTTGTTTCACGACACACTAGATGCAAATGACAAAATGTTTCTAAATTCTTTAAATCTTCCTAAGGCAGAAATATTCGATTAGTTAAAAAAAAATGTTTTTTTTTTTTGGAATACGAAAACGATGAAACGTTCGTGACTAGGCATCATGGGCAAATCTACGACAAAATACGCAGTTGAAAAAATTATGTGATAATGTTGGTAGGCAATACAAATGTGATTGAATTGATATGTTGTAAAATTAATAAAATAGAGGAAATCAACAGAAATGTTCAAAGTTAACAATTATAGAACTAAAACCCCAGCACATACAAGGTCACCAAGCCTGGTTATTGCATATATGTACATACATACACACATATTCACGTGTGTTAATTTAGTTTTTTTCTTATAAAATATATTCATAAACTTTAATACGAATTTCATATTACAGTTTATAGTTGACCACAAACAGAACAGAATGCAAGATAATATCATAAATTGTTGTGGCTTTTCCGAACCACTGCACACATTATGAAAGTACATAGATAATAATTATTTCACATTTTTAACCTCATCTCATTATCATGTTTAGGGTAATTTTATTTCTCGGGGAGTTTGAGAGATTGGGCGTTGATACATGTATGCCTGGCAATCTATTATTTAAGGCATGACAATCTTTTAGTAAAATTTGCAAAGACCAAATCAAAAGGAAAAATTACGCACTTATTTAAAAAAACAGTAAGGAAAGTAGTAAAGTCGGACGGCTATATGATACACTTCACCACTATGGGTATATTAAACAGCTGATGATATTGATCTAAATGTGAATCTACCTAGATCTATCGATAAACGTTTCATTCGTTTGTTACAATGGGACAAAAGTATGTAAATCGACTTCAAACAAATATAAATAGGTCATACGTTGGACATGCCTGTACTTCTAGAAAACGCAACAATTCTATGCTCAATTTTGTACGTTGTGCAAAATTTGATGTCAATCTGACTAACATGAGGAGCTTGATGCCCAATTTACTTAAAATCGGGAGAAAATATATATGGAAGCTATATCCAAATATGAAGCGATTTCAACGAAAATTGTCACAGGTTAGGTTATACTAATTATAGTACGTTTTGTTCCTACCAGCCTATTGGTTCGTTGGTGCGTCAATCTATAATAAAAGTGGCACTTGGCACAAAATTTGGCATACATCTAGGCTCAATTTAGTACGTTATACTAAATTTCGTGCAAATCGAAAGATATATAGGGACTTTGGTGCACCATTTACATCAAATCGGACGAAAATATATATGAGAGCTATATCTAAATCTGGACCGATTTTCACGGAACTTGGCAGACATTATTCTAGGCTCAATTTAGTACGTTATACTAAATTTCGTGCAAATCGAAATATATATAGGGGCTTTGTTGCACCATTTACATGAAATCGGACGAAACTATATATGGGAGTCATATCTAAATCTGCACCGATTTTCTCGAAACTTGGGATACATCAATCTAGGCTCAATTCAGTACGTTATGCCAAATTTCGTGCAAATCGAAATATATATAGGGACTTTGGTGCACCATTTACATGAAATCGGACGAAACTATATATGGGAACAATATATAAATCTAGACCTATTTTCACGAAACTTGGCAGACATCATTCTAGGCTCAATTTAGTACGTTATACTAAATTTCGTGCAAATCGAAGGATATATAGGGACTTTGGTGCACCATTTACATGAAATCGGACGAAACTGTATATGGGAGTCATATTTAAATCTGGAACGATGTTTTCGAAACTTGGGATACATCAATCTAGGCTCAATTCAGTACGTTATGTCAAATTTCGTGCAGATCGAAGGATATATAGGGACTTTGGTGTACCATTTACATGAAATCGGACGAAACTATGTATGGGAGCTATATCTAAATCTGGAACGATTTTTTTCGAAACTTGGGATACATCAATCTAGGCTCAATTCAGTACGTTATGTCAAATTTCGTGCAGATCGAAGGATATATAGGGACTTTGGTGTACCATTTACATGAAATCGGACGAAACTATGTATGGGAGCTATATCTAAATCTGGAACGATTTTTTCGAAACTTGGGATACATCAATCTAGGCTCAATTCAGTACGTTATGCCAATTTTCGTGCAAATCGAAGGATATATAGGGACTTTTGTGCACCATTTACATCAAATCGGACGAAACTATATATTAGAGCTATATCTAAGTCTGGACCGATTTTCTTGAAACTTGGCAGACATCACTCTGGGCTCAATTCAGTACGTTATGCCAAATTTTGTGCAAATCGAAGGATATATAGGGACTTTGGTGCACCATTTACATGAAATCGGACGAAACTATATATGGAAGCTATATATAAATCTGGACCGATTTTCATGAAACTTGGCAGACATCACTCTAGGCTCAATTCAGTACGTTATACTAAATTTCGTGCAAATCGACAGATATATAGGGTCTTTGGTGCACAATTTACCTTAAATCGGACGAAAATATATATGGGAGCTATATCTAAATCTGAACCGATTTTTCCCAATTTCAATGGGGTTCGTCCTTGGGCCAAACAAATGAGCTGTACCAAATTTCATCCAAATCGGATTATAAATGCCACCTATACTTTGTTTACAATTTAACACCAACAGACTGACAGACGGACGGACGGACTTGCATAAATTGACTCAGAAAGTGATTCTGTGCATATTCTCAAAAGGAAATATGGGTCTATCTCGTTTCCTTTTGCCTGTTACAAAAATATGCACAAAGGCATAATACCCTGTACCACAGTGTGGTGAAGGGTATAAAAACTCCGATGTTATCCTAATTTTGTCTCTCCGATAATACTTAATAATCATTCCCCACTTTCTTAAACAAAAAAATAATAATAAAAAGTTGACATTTTCATATTCAGTAAAAAGGCATCTCACTGCAATTTAGTTTTATTAAAACTAAAATACTTTTAAGGTACACATAGCACGTAATTATCCACTACAGATGCTCTAGCCATTATGGCCAAATAAATGATTAGCCAATTTAGACGGCAACGGCACCAACGGCGTATTCATCACGGAATTTGAGTTTGCCATTGGAATCCTTGTAGAAACCTGGAAAAAGAATAACGAAAAGAACATGTTAGTTAATATGCTATGAAATGAAATCCACAAAACTATATCTGAACTATATTTCCAATTCAAAAATACTAACCAGCATCGACGGTTCCAACAAAACTACGTTTGGGAGCCAAGGCCGAGTACAAGGGGGTCAAACGGCCGTAGTTACGAACCAATAGAGGTACACCAATTTGATAGCCATAACGATCAACGGCAGCCAAGTTCAGATGTTGCAACTTGGCGGCAGAAGCTTTGGCAGCAGCAACATCGGTATAGGCCGATGCAGCAGCATCAGCATTTTCGGGCGAGTAGACGGGGTCGGCTTGAGAACGCCCATAGGCGGGTGCAGCTTCGACATATGCGGCAGGAGCGGCGGCACCGGAGTATGAAGGAGCTCCATAGTTGGCCAATGCACAACCGCACAAACCGAAAATGGCAACTGCAGCCAGGGCAATATTCTGTGTGAATTTCATATTGGATCTCTCCTCTAATGTTTCTTCAGGAAACTAAAGCGTGAAACTAATGTTCAGCCAATGCCATAAAAACATTTTTATAGTCAACGAATAAAATTCTCGTCTCCCAGATCTCTTTACCCAGGCTACGTGACAAATTCTTCAATTGCCAAAGAAATATGGCCGCTGGATGTGTACGGTGCGATGCGGGAGGTGCCATCAAATCCGCAAAGTCTTTTGTGTTCTTTCGTTTCATTTCAAGTGGGTTTTTTCTTCGTTTCAGTTTTTTCTTTTTTTTTTTGTATTACGCTATTCCAACCTGAAACCAAGCCATCATCTCCCACAGAACCCAATTAAACCGAAAATAACATGACTAACTGGTGGGTTGGTTGGCTGCTTGGCTGGCTGGCTGACGGACTGGCTAACTGTCCAGTTAGCTAGATGGCTGGCTGGCTGGCTAGTTGATTGATTGGTAAAAACTACGACGTATGCAGTGTTTTGGTTTTTACGCGCTGTGTGGCTTTTATTGGCTTTTGTTGCCTCAGGTCTGGTTTCTACTTCTGGCGATAGAATTTCCTACAGTTTCATGTATTCAGTTCCGTTGATAAGAAGGAAGTCAATTAAAAACAAACGACAAATGTGATGTCAACGACAATGTGCCAGAGCGCCAGCAAGAAAGTTTCAATTCTTGTTATTGTGTTTTTGGTCAATGCTTCGTTTTTCCATTTATGGTAAGAAGAATTTTGATTAAGTCAAATAGAAAGTTCTTGTACTATGTCATTATATTTTAAATGTACATTTCCCTTCTATATATTTCTCTTATATCGCCACAAGGGGTATATAGACTTGATGGAATGAAAATAAATTGAACATTATGAAAAATGAGGAATATTAATATTTTGCATTAGGGCAACTGCCAGTAGATAAAAGATGTGACATTGTAGGTACGACTTTATATTGTTGTTATGTTCTGAGAAAAGTGTTGTAGGATGTCCCAAATACCGAAAATTAAACGGAATCTTTGTATGGAGACTGTTAACACCACGAATTTATTTTAAAACAAATCTGATATATTTTCATATTTCAAGAAACCTTAATAATACCGACAAATGATCGATATCGTTATATTGAAGTTATGTTTGAAGTACCAAACATCTTAAGAGTATAACCAATTTATGTACAAAATTTCAAAAGTATAGTTTAAAAATTGAGATATCTATCGTGATTTCAGGAGAATGTTAATCTATTCTGACCATGAATATACATTTTTGTGAATATTCCGAGATGATTCTCAAATGCATATTGGAAATATTTGTTCTTAAAGGGAGGCTCGCACATTTTCGGTTTCAAAAAATTTAATGTTGTTTATTTTTCTTTTAGATAATTTGAACCTCCTCTAAATAAAGAATGCGCTTTTAAAAATTCAAGTGAAAATCTCAACATATCTTGAAGATATAGCCGATTTATTGTTGTTGATTCAAGAGACGACAAGAGTTTTTCACAAACTTTAAAAAGTGTTTTTACGAATGGCGGGCATGATAATTCAAAAACTATTTAAGAGGACCCCCCCCCATTCACAGTCCCTATAAAACTTCAAGTGAAAATCTCAACAACTCTTGAAGATATAGCCGATTTATTGTGTCAGCATCAAGTGACGGCAAGAGTGATTCTCAAACTTTAAACGCATTTTTCTCGAAGAAGTGTTTTACGAATGGCGGGCACGATAACTCAAAAACGAATAATCCAATCTATTCCAAATTTTGACACGTTTGTCTGTTAGAGTATAGCTATCGTATGAACTAGGATAAAGTCAATCGGTGAAGATCTTCATTATTTATACCCTTCACCTAACGGTGGTACATGGTATTATGTCTTTGTGCATATGTTTGTAACAGGCAAAAGGAATCGAGATAGACCCATGGTTCCTTTTGAGAATATGCATAGAATCACTTTCTAAGTCGATTTACGCATGTCCGTCTGTCCCTCCGTCCCGCCAATTTTAAATTGTAAACAATGTACAGGCCGCATTTATTATTCGAATTGGATGAAATTTGGCGCAGCTCATTCCTCTCGCCCAAGGACGAACCCTATTGAAATTTAGAAAAATCGGTTCAGATTTAGATATATCTCCCATATATATTTTCGTCCGATTTAATGTAAATGGTGCACTAAAGTCCCTAAATAGCTTTCGATTTGCACGAAATTTGGCATAGCGTACTGAATTTAGTCCAGACTGATGTGTGCCAAGTTTCGTGAAAATCGGTCCAGATTTAGATATAGCTCCCATATATAGTTTCGTCCGATTTCATGTAAATGGTGCACCAAAGTCCCTATATATTTTTCGATTTACACCAAATTTGCCATAACGTACTGAATTGAGCCTAGAGTGATGTTTCCCAAGTGTAGAGAAAATCGATCCAGATTTAGATATAGCTCCCATATATAGTATCGTCCGATTTCATGTAAATGGTGCACCAAAGTCACCACGCTGTGGAACAGGGTATTATGCCTTTGTGTATATGTTTGTAACAGGCAAAAGAAATCGTTTGGTTCCTTTTGAGAATATGCATGACTTTCTGCGTCGATTCACGCATGTCCGTCCATGTATTTTTGTGAACAAAGTACAGTTCGCATTTATGATCCGATTTAAACGAAATTTAACACAGTTCACTTATTTAGCCCAAGGACGAACCCTATTGCAATTGGGAAAAATCGATTCAGATTTAGATATAGCTCCCATATATAGTTTCGTCCATACTTATGTATGCGAAGTTTTGTTGGAATCGGTTTAGATTTAGATATAGCTCCCATATACAGTTTCGTCCGATTTTTGGTGAATGATAAACCAAACTCCCTATGTTTGTCCGATTGATATAAAGTTTTACACACCGCACTGAATAATGTTCAGATTGACGTTATGTTTGTTCGATTTACACGAAATTTGGCACTGGTTATTAAATTGAATATAGAATGATAACAAAAAACAAATGGTCTATGCAATGGTTGCTCAATTATGTCCATGCATAATTTTACTCGTTTTCATACAAATGGTACACCAAAGAATCCAAGTCTGTCCGTTTGACATGGGGGTTTTTCAATAGGTTCAAATATCTATCTAGATAGTAGTGGTCAATGTAGATATATATATTGACCTAGCTCACTTAAACCGATTAAATAAATGGGTTTTAAGGGATTATAATCACTTATTGAACACAAAAAAAATAAGTTTTCCAACGAGAATTTAGTGATGGTTTTATACATTCTAATACAGTTTTGGATTTAACCGTAGAAGAAATATACCAAAGATTTTTATAATTATTTTTTTATCTGATAGATTACACCTTGAGCTACGATGCTTATCAATAAGTAAACCGAATACCAGCAATTCCAACACAACCTATTCTGCAAAATATTCTAAATTTTGTAAATATATTTTAAGCAAACTTTACACACGCTATTTGGTATGCTTCACTGTTTAAAATGTAATATCAGTCAGTCACCCATGCTATATCTAAATCTGAAGCGATTTCAAGAAAACTTGCCAGAGATTAATTTATATTAATTTCAGTACGTTGTGTCAAACAGCCTAGCTATGGGTCTTTAGGGCACCATTTCCTTAAAATCAGAAAATATATATAGGAGCTATATGTAAATCCGAACCGACTTCAAGAAATCTTGAGTAACTTCAGTACATTGAACGAAATTGTGTGCCAATCGACCAAACTCTGGGTCTTTTGTGCACAATTTACATTAAATCGTACGAAAACATATTTGGCGATTTTCTCGAAACTTAAACCACGACATTCTAGACTCAACTTAGTACAATATGCTAAATTTCCACAGTGCGGCGAAGGGTATAAAAATAACTAATTGACAATATTAAAAAATAATATATATATATATAAATATACATGGGCAATATTGCCAATTTTTTAATATTCCATTTTCAAAAAATCAGCTTTTTTGTTTTTGTGGTACATCGATGATTTTTGGTACACATATAGAGAAAAATGTTCTGATTCCGAAACCGTTCACAATCAAATTTTTGGTAGATGCGCGCAAAAGTTATCGAGGTTTTAATTTTGGGTATAAGAAAAAAATCTTAAAATTACACCGTTTATTATATTGACCAAAAACGTTGATATATATCTTCCTCCGTAAAATAAGAATATGAATATACTATAATAATCGCGATAATCTTCGCGAAATATGAGAAAAATAAAAAAATATAGGATATTACATCAATATTTTCATTATATTAATGACATACTCACACTTAAAAATTAATTTAAAAATATCTACATTTGTAAATCACAGCGACAACAAAACAAGATATTGAGGAAAACTATTTGTTTTTGGTTCGAAAAAATAATGTCATCATATTTATTTTTTTAATAGTATACAAGAAATTTCAGAAAAAAATGTTGGGGTTATTCTGATATTTTACCCGAATTTCGCCGAAAAATTTACATTTATAAAAATAATCACTTTTTGTGTATAAGTATACGCCTTGCGGATTATATCAAGACCCTTTCGATAAATTTTGGGGTTCTATAAATAGGAATATATCTTAAAATAAAATAATATTATGAAATATACATTTTAAATTGCGTAATTCTCAAAATCATTTGATGCGCATGCGGTTTCCAGGAAGTACTGAAGTTTATCTTCCAATCCATGTATATTTTGCGAAATTTAATTTGACGGCTAAGATGTGCCACACGTTGCATTGAAGTACCCAAAAAATCGTAAAACGCGAATAATTTCCGAAAACTCCACATGCCATTAACGCGCATCTGATTATCCCTAAAAAAATACATCGATCTATACCGATTTCAATGTGGTCCATTAAGAACCATGGATGTGCCAGCTCACAATATTTTTGAGATAAATTGGGTATATCTCTCTTTCGGCTGAAGTTTTTAAAGTTCTCTTTTCTAAAAAGATCAAAATCCGTATGAGGTCATTTATTGAAGCGGAAATGATCCACAGAAAACGCAAATAAATCCGCCATATTTTCA